TAACAATGGAATGAGATGCTTTCATTTCCTAACTACTTACAAAAAGAAGAAATAACCTGTTCACCGGCTGGACACAAGTAGTACCTACACAGCAAAAAGAATCACGTTTGAAGAACATATTCTGAAGGTGAAATTACAGATACAGTGATGACCAGTAAAGACATAAAGGGCCTTCCGCAACTGTGCAGAACTCATGTAAGGAGCTGACAGGTAACTCAGACAAAATGCATTGCTTTTGGTACAACAGTCCCTGATCATCGCTGAGCAAGTATTTCATGATCCTGTATCATCACAATTTGGCATTTGTCCCATCAGTGACACTGAATCTATCATTTTATAGATTATCTCCGAGGTCTTCCTTCCTTCCCTCCCCAGTACTTGTCATCTCTTGTACTTAGCGATGATTGTAAGCTTTTGTTCTGATTTTCTGTTTTAAGCAGAAGGAGTTAACATGCACTCTCCACAGAAACAGACAGCTGGAAAACAGAATCTAGAATTCAATTTTCAATAAGAAAGCTGGGAAGACCTAGAAGCACAAGCTGCTGTAGCTAGGCTGCCTTACAGGAGATCACAGTAGCAAGAGCTGGGAAGGTGTCATGGGTAAAATACAGTCTGGTAACTTGTTCACTCACTTCCCCCCTTTCTTTCCCTCCCCCTACTCCCAGAGGGACGGAGAGGAGAATCGAAAAGAACGCAACTCCCACGGGTTGAGATAAGAACAGTTTAGTAACTAAGGTATAACACAAATCACTACTGCTACCACCAATGATAATAATGATAAAGGAAATAACAAGGGAAGAGAATACAACACCTCACTACCAGCCGACCGATAACTCTCCCCCCAAGCCCAACCAAGCTCTGACCCATACCTCCTCCAACCCTGCAGTCTCCCAGCCCTTCCGGCTAACTCCCAGTTACCTCCTGGGCATGACGTGCTGTGGTATGGAATACCTCTTTGGTCAGTTTGGGTCAGGTGTCCTGTCTCTGCTTCCTCCTGGCTTCCCCTCCTCCCTGGCAGAGCATGAGGCTCACAAAGTCCTTGGCCAAACCAAAACATCATTGTTATCAGCTCTGCTCCCAGGCTGAAAGTCAAAACACTGCACTGCACCAGCTACCAAAAAGGAGAAACATGACTGCTACTGCTGAACCCAGGACAGAAGGCAAGAAAATCAACAGCTAAAACAAGTTCTTCCATCCCTGAGACACAAAAGGCAGAGGAGTAGTTCCTGTGATAGACTACCTGGAAAAGACTGTGTTTAAGTTAAGCATGAGTTCAGAGCACCCAGAGCATTCAGCAACAAAATACAAAATTTCAAAAATCATTATGAAACAGAGTAAGCTTCTGTGCATTTAGATCAACAAAAATCTGCACCTAAAAGAGAGTTTTGTGTGGGTTTCAGAAGTAAAAACAAGTTTAATGAAACTAAACTAAATCTATTCTTATTGCAGAATAGAGTTTCACTGTGCTGTGTGAAAGTAAGGCTTGAGATTTACAGTCACTTCCAACTAATGTGTAATCATGCCTTCAGAGAACATCTTCTCCCAGGTCTTTCATGGCAATCTTCAGTCCAAAAAAAGGATGTGAAAATATTCATAACCACTCAAATTCCAAGTACTACTAACGATAAATGAGGGGGTTTGGGGCATTTAGGGCAGGCAAATGCCTCAGTTCTGCTGAAGAAAGATGGGTCCAGAGAAGAAAGTGGTTAATTTTTTTTAATCATAAGTGCAAAGTGCACTCTGCAAAGTGCAGAGACACAACTTGTTCTTATGAAAGACTCACAAAGAGATTTACCAGCCATCCAAATGTCCAAACACCATGCCAAACAACTTCTATGAAAATTTGATTTATATCACTATGACCTTTAAAAGGACTAATCTGGACAGAACTGATTATAGCATAGTCTTTAATACACCCTACAACCCTCAGATAAAGCTAAACTCCTTTTCATACAGCTAACAAGTCAGGCGGAAACATGGTATCAGCTTATGAGACTGTACAGTCTCTGGGGCAACAAATGTCTTTTTTCTTATCCTGCAAATTTCCTGGCATTCTTTTGGAGCCCATAAAAACAAACAAGATACCCTTACTCAAATCAGAAGTGATCTTTCAAAGAGCTGTGAGGAAAACACCAATAAAATCTTACCTGAAAAATAATCAAGATTTTACTAAAGTAAATTTTTAGTAAATTTTAGAAAAAGAATCAAGATTTTACTAAAAAAATTTTACTTGTGAGAATTAATAGATCCCTCTTTGCACAAACACCACATGGAAGAGCTTCCATTGTAAGGACCATGAGAGAGGGACACTGGACTATAAAAAGATCTTAACTGTTATGTACAGAAATAATCTTGTAAAGAAATACTTTTCAGGTATCCCTCCCCAAACCCAGGGTACAGAGATGTGAGTGAATGGCCAGGCCTGAGGAAAAGGAGAATGGTTACTTGTGGCAGTCAGAAGTTCACTGGTAAGGGTGCTGCTGAAAAGTCATCATTCTTCTTCTCCAAGTAATCACAAGGTTTATATTTTACATCCCCTTCTGACCCAGTATGTTTTCATGTTGTAAAGAAGCGAAATGAAGGCAGGAAACAAGGTGAATATGGGAACCTGCTTCTTTCAACAGAAGATTTCAGTTCAAAACCTAGAAAAATGAGATCTTAACTAGAGATGAAGAGGTAAAGAAAGAAAAACCCATTTTACAGTGACAGCTAAATTTTGTCTCAGAACATCTATGTAAATGATTTTTCACAGGACTTCAAAGCACACAGAAGTCTTCCTCCAAGAAAAGTAATAAGTACCTGGAAAAGAAACACAGGGGCTTTTCTGCTCCAGACAAGCTATTTCTACCACAATGGCTGCAGCACCAATAGCCTAGGTGAGCAAGCACCACTTTTTTTTCTTGAGTTGCCTAAAATATGAACAATTTCTAATTCTAAATCATTTACATTAAAACTTCCAGGCCAGGACCCATCTCCCTAATCCAGCACAGTGACTTTCATGACATGCATGTCTTTTCAAGCCTAAAAATATATAAATGTACCTAAAGAGTTCAGAATCTTGATCACTCAGAAGAAAACATTTCCAAGTAAGTCTCAATAGAAAATAAAAATAGAATCCCTTTTAGATAATATGGAGGACCTGCAAATACTTAAAGCACCAGAATGACTACAGAAAATCGCCTTTTTAAAGTCAGAATAGGCCTTTGCTTTTCTATTTATTGCATTTTTAGTACTGATGAACACTGTTAGTACTGCAGTTACAGCCTCCACCTTGCAGTCACTTCATGTTCCTGCTGTCAGACATGAAAGATTCTTCTCTCATTAGCTTGATAAATACCAAAAGTTGTAGTAGTACAGTCTGAACACAATGAAATAACACTTCCAAACTCTTTCTCTGCAGAACAAAGATGCTACTATAGAAAGAAACCTGTATGCACATACATATAAGAAAGTTTATATGACAGCTAGTGAAAAGAATTTGGGTTTACTGTTGTTTACGCAAATAGCCAACAACAGACTCAGAAGTACAGACTGCTAGGCACAGACAAGTTGAGACTCAGTTTTCTTGATTAGGCAGAGCTGATATTAGAGGGAACTGCACAGGCACTCTTTTCCAGGACAGCATTACAGAGTCCAAGGAAAACCCTGCTAGTCTTCTAGAAGCATGTAGAAGCATACCGTGATTTTATTTACCCTTCATCAGATATGACTTTATACAGTAACTTAAACATCCAGACAATCACAAAACTGTACCACACACAGATACATCGTAATACACATCATAATGCAGACAGAACTGAGCAACAAGGACATGTGATATTTCAAGACCTGTAGAAGTTAAAAACACTGGAAGGGTGATGCCAGCACAACATTTTTTTACTTGCTGTTATTTTGCTTCACCTACTCAAATTCTCAGTATATCTCAAAATTTAGATTCAACAGCAATCAATGAAACTCTCATGAGTTTTCTGTAGAAATATTGTTCTGCAGCAAGTAGGCAGGATTTCCAAGACAGTGGAAAACACTCGAGGAAAGAGGCTTCAGAGTTGAACGATAAACTCAAGCACGGTCAGTAAAGGATTTTGTCAGTAAAAATGAAATCACCAGATGGACAGAAGCTCATGTAGTAAAGGAACCCAACTGAATTCCATCCTAACTCTGGAATGAAGCTACACATTTCTGGGGAACTCCATTTATGCTATGAGAATGGAGAAAGTGGAATGAAACTGTTACAACATTTTGGACCCTAGTTTCTAGAGTAACATGTCTATCTGTTTATTTATTTATTTATTTATATTATTATTCTTGTCATCATCAACAACCTCCTCCTCATCATAATCATCATTATTATTAATCATCATCACCACCATCATTATTATTAGTCCTTGCAGGCAAAACACCAACAAACTCTCTGCTGGGATTTGAACTAAGTTTCAGAAGCATCAAAAGTGGCATAATAATTTTGCCCTTTACTCCTCCCATTCTCTTGGACCACATGATTTTACATTTAACTTACTCTATGGCACCTACGTGTTTATTATGCTGATGAAAAATACCTACTTCAGGACACAAAAATACTTGGAAAACAACTACATTTTAAGTGAGTATGACCCTGACAGAGGCAAGAGGATCAATTCCATCTGCTTTTTCTTCAGCATCAACAGAGGACAGATATTTGGACAGGTCACATCTGTGCTTCCATTTGCCTTGTGCCTTTGTCACCAGTCTGATGTGTTCACGGTGGGGTGGACAGAAGAACATTCTTCATTTTTCATTAGCACACAGGACAGCACTTTTGATCTCTGAGGTAGCTTCCAGGAGTTATTATGTTGCTGGGCAATCAAAGTATTAGGCATTCCTAATTCTAAGGCATTCCCAAAAAACTGAGAACTTACAAATATGACACCTACATTTTTGAACCACTGTGTTGCAAAAAATATTTCTCTGTTGTATTTATACATACAATTAATGAGAGTGTGGTAAAGACACACAAAACTTACATAGTCATGAAAGGCTTTTGCTTCACTTGAATGTTCACATGTTTCTCGTCTTTCCGGAGCTGCACAGTACAGATCCCAAAATACACTGCAAGTTAACAAGATACAGAGATGGTGAGAAGATCATTGTAATACTCGTACAGATTTTATGGTGTATGCACACCACACACGCATGTTCATATATAGAAACAGACATACCACTTCCTTGCCAAGGGATGAAAACACTTGCCTCTTAAGAAAGAATTTAGCTTTGCAAAACATCTATGAGAATTCAAGTCCTGATATCTGATTCTATGAGGAAAGCAGTGCTGTATTCCTTTAATACCACTGTAGTACAGACCAGGAAGATAGTCTAATATACAACGTTCAAGTGTATAAAGTGTATTATTGAAGATTTGCATTTAACCTCATCCCTCTGACAACTGCTGCAATTAACTATCACAAAGTGTGGGAAGGGATGGATTTGTAGTAACATGAAAGGGCAAGAAACTGGAGAGAAAATTGGGAGCTCTTCCAAGGTCCGACACAGGCCTTTAAAGTTCCCAGAGAAACAGGTGTGTGTGGACAAGAGTAGGAAATAGATGGTTATGTTCTTGTTAGTGAAAGGAAATTATAGTGCTCCCACTGGTCTTTCTCCCCTTCAAATAGAGTTATACATGTATCAGTTCCAACACAGAGTTTCTGGAATGAAACTATGTGTATGAAAAAACAACTTGAAAGGATTTTTTTCTTTTTGCGAGAGTTTCAGAGTGTTTTTCTATTGGTTTAGACTTAATCCTTTGTAACTTAGTCCAGCACTGTAATAAGGAATGTGGGCAATTTCAGCACTCTGATGCAGACAAGCAAAATTTAGGATAATGCAGACATCAGAGATACAAGGGACACACTTTTCTTAGACAGGTTCCCATCACATAGCTAAAAGCTGTGAAAGAAAGGTCAATGAAGGTGTCATACACACCTTCCATGCAGCTGTACAAATCACTTGGGTTCAAAATGTTTAAAAATGTTAATTTCTTGTACTCCTGATAGTTGGATATATTCTCTGCAATTCTTTCAAACACAGGTATACTGGATATATTCCAATCAGGTGACAACTAATAAATATCACAGCTAAACAGCACTGACTGTGAATGCTCTTCTCTCCTTGGGAATTCTACACACACAAACTGGTGTGTCTCTGCACACCAGTATACGTAAGCACATGCCACCATGCATAAAAAATTACAAGTCATCCTCATGTCTACTCATCTTCTGAGCTGAGAGAAACTCCGCAAATGCAGACACTGCAGCACCAAGCCCATGCTAATGCACACTGCCTCCCAAAAAGGCTAGTAGTTTGAGTTCAGCTAATTTCTGTCAAATCCTATTCCCGTGACTAGAATGTGGACTGTATGCTGAGGAAACTCGCATCTGTATGCAGAGTCTCTGTACTTACAGGTTTTTTTTAATGCAATTATTTAGGATACGTAGAATAATCTCTTAAATGCACCACTTACCAAAGGTGGTGAAGAAAGATATGCACACCACCTTTTTCAAAGCGGCTTTCTTATCAGCACACTACAGTGTTTTCCTGTATGTATTATCTGTATATTTTTCCATATCTAATTTTCTGGTTTTTTCATTCCTTAACAAGAAACTGGCTCTTGATCCTCATCTTCATGTTCCTTTTACAACATTTACCTGAATTTCCTGCCTCCAACTGCTAGAACTAGCAGCTGGCATATTCTGAAAGTGAGAGGAAAAGAAAATTGATACTTACCACCACCAGGAATGCAGGAATCCTGGGGGCTCCCCCAGTGTGATGTTTTTTTCCCATCTTATCTAAAACAAAACATAAAAACGGAGGTGCACATTTCTGATGATGGTGACTAAAAAGCATTACATAATCCATGCAGATTGGGGAGGGGGGGGAAGAAGAAAAGGTTTTGTAGTTATGAAAGGTTTTATCATCATCAGTTTCAGCAGCCATATCACTTCATTATAGTTACTAATATAGCTGATGCTTAAATTAAAGTTTTCTTACTTCAATAAAGCATGTTTTAGAGTATTTTTATTTAGATTCTATTTTATTTAGATTCTGAATACAATGTTGTTAACAATGTGCTTTGTATCACTCCACTGAGATGCGCATTATTGTAAGGTCAAAAATGCATGACCAATGGAACAAAAAAAAAGAAAGTGTTAAAAAGTACCCTTAAAATGACGTAAAAGATTTTCCAAGGAAAACTAAGAAAAACATAGAATACAGAACTAATGTAACTGATTCAGCAGGTGGCAGTCTTCCCTCCACATCCAAAGCAGGCACTGCTTTATAATCCTCAAGGAATGCTTTACTGTTAGAGGTACATTAGCTATAACTCCTTCTCCCACCATGCAGTGACAATGCTAGTTTGGCTTGGTTTGTCTGTGCTGGCAACCCCTCCTGAACAGCTACGCTGGCTGTGATTTCTTTCCCACCCAGAAAGCCTAGTTTGCTTAAAACTGTTTTCAAAGGAAATGCTATTTAAGAACTCTTATTACCCTTGACTTCATACTTTTCTTGTTGACCAGCAAACCTATGAAACAACATAACGCACACTGAACAGCATTCTGCCTCTCTGCAATGCTTCCCAAATGCTGTGTCTTAGTGATAATCACACGACCATTTTATTGAAGCCATAGTCATTAGTTTGCCCTGAACTCCAAAATAAAGTACTTTGGGCTATAATAAAGCCCGTGCAACTGCTGAAGGAACTCTGCTGCAAGTAACTGAAAGTCCTGCTGAAATCCATACAACACTGTACAGAAGAAATGTCTCATGTTAGAACTGGGTAGAAACTACGGCGTTGCAAGCACTCCAAATTCCTCCAGTTACAACTATACATAGCATTCTTTCCTGTCCAATTTTGTTAATAAAAATTTTGTTAAAAAAACCCAAATTGTATTCTCCTCTAGAGACAGAAGTAATGGCAGACAGAGGATTGTTTTAATGAAATGCTTAAACAGCCTTAATATGAAAGACATTTAAAGACATATCTATAAAAGTACCTAAAAGCTTTCTATAAAAGGCAGATATAGTGTTCATTCTGCTAGAGGCATTGGTAAACCTGGCATTTTCCAAAAGAGAATAAAACTGATTCTCAACTTGATTTCCACATCTAATTCTTCAGAAATTTATACACATCCAAGTTCTGCCAATAGCTTGGAGGAGAATATGTAGCCTGTATACCTTAAAATGTTCTTTGTACTCATATGGAGTAGCCTAGAATAATTTTGCTATATTGTATAAATGCAAATATTCGAAACTAATGTCTCTTAAAAGTATTTTTAAAATGTAACCTCGAGGCACTACCACTTCTGTTGGTAAAGCAGAATGATCCAACTGCATGGCATTTAACCTCACAACCACCAAGTAACAATAGTTAATATATAAAAAGCATAATTTTAAAAGCTGCTGTTTAAGCACTGGCAGATAAAAGTATTTATAAAAATGAAAAATGCAAATAAAAGCCAAAGCTACTGCAAAGGTATTACACACTCTTCAAATAAACTTCTCTGAGGCATGCTTGCTTCTCACATGCACTGGTAATGGCTTGGAGAGACTTGTGTTAATCACCAGGAATACTGAGTGCCTCTTCAAAAGCAACATAATGAAGAGATTCAGCATACAACCAAAATAAAAAACGGTTAGTGAAGTTGAAAAATCATTCACTTAAAAGTTAAAATCATGTCTGTGTATAAAGCCCTCACTACGTCTAACCAGTATCCTCCTCTTCAAAGCAGGGCTTAATAGGGAAATTACCCATTTCACAGATCTTATCCTAGTCCTTTTTAACAGGACATATTTAATATTGAGAAATTTATTCAGAGAAGGAGCATGAAGGGAATGCAGAATTTGGTCTTGTTCGGAGGGAGTTTGTTTCGATTTTCAAACTAAAAAAAAAACCCATGCTTCTGTCTCACATGGCAGATGTCACTATGTCTGATAACAGAGACTTAAAAAGAACGAATTATAAAGAATTAATTTAGGAAAAATGCCATCATTGACAACTGTATTGATTAAGGTCATAGCTGAGGACTGATTAACTGGGAAATGCCCACCTTCCTGCTCCAGCCAATTCTACTATAAACCAATACGATACAGCTGCTGGGTTACTTCATGCCATGTCTTGTGAAAGGAAGTAAATTTGCAGACCAAGATACCAGAGTTACAGCCAAGAAACTGAAGGTCTGCTACCAAGAGATCCAGGAAAATGCTACGTGAGTTTTAGGCCCTGTGTTTCAGAGATGGAAACAATGAAGCTTTGAAGGCTGTCCTCACAAGGACCACAAAGCACAGCCCACCTTGTACTTTAAAGCTCAGCAAAGCACTTCCTAGACCCTACTGACTCATAGAACGACAGAATCACAGAAAAGCTCAGACTGTAAGAGCCCTTGAAAGATCATCTGGTGCAGCCTTTTGTGTGCAAGAGAACTGTGCTTGTTTTTACTGGTAGAGAGTTATTTTTCTTAATAATAGCTAGTATGAGGCTATGTTTGGATTTGTGCTGCAGTGTTGGTAACACATTTTCATTATTGCTGAGCAGGGCTTATACCACCACCAAGGCCTTTTCTGCTCCTCACTCCACCGCCGAGCTGGCTAGCAGTGCACAAGAAGCTTGGGGGCACACAGCTGGAAACGCTGACACCAACTGACCAAAAGGGATATCCCATACCGTATGGCATCACGCTCAGCATGTAAAGCTGGAGGAAAAAAAATGAAGGGGGAATGCTTGGTTCGATATCATTTGTCTTCCCAAGTCACCATTACACATGATGGAGCCCTGCTTTCCTGGTTGTGAATGAACTGCCTGACCATGGGAAGTGGTGAATGGATTCCTGCAAGTGTTCAAGGCCAGGTGGAACAGGGCTTGGAGCAACCTGGTCTCATGGAAAGCGCACCTGCCCGTAGCAGGGGGCTGGAACTGGACAACCTTTAAAGTCCCTTCCAGCCCAAAACATTCTGTGATTCTACAAGTATTCCTTAGTTTGCTTTCCTTGTCTGTGCAATTTTTCCTTTACCTATTAAACTATCTTTACATCAACTCACAAGTTTTCACACTTTTCTGATTCTTTCCCTTATCCCACTGGGGATAGGGAGGACCAAGTGGCTGTGTGGGGCTTAGCTGTCCACTTGGGTTAAACCACAACAGTCCTTGTGGCACCAAAAAGGACAGTAATGGTTTAACCCCAGATAGCAACTAAGCACCATACAGCCACTCAGTCAATTTTTTTCTTGTATTAAGATGAAACCCCTCCCTGTGCAACCTGTACCCACTACTCCTTGTCTTCTCCAGAGAAAGCCTCTGTCTTCTTTGTAGCCACCCTTTAAGTACTGAAACACTATGATGAGGTCTTCCCTGAGCCTTGTATTTCCCAGGGAGAAAAGACCTAACTCCTTCAGTCTTTCCTCATAGGGCAGATTCTCCCTTTAACTTGTGGATCAGTCGTACAAAATTTAAACTAGTTACAGAGCACTACAAAAATACAGGACTGCTTAGGACTACCATGTCCAAGTTAGGGTTAGGTTTTTAGTCTTTGTCATTTATACATACATAGGTACCACTGCCTGCTATATAGCTCAGACAATTTATGTATGCTTACTGCTTTTACACCCCAACATTCAGTTTTAGAGTTACTCTGAACTATTTAATCTTCTTCTACTACTTGTCGCTTTAACTTCTGCATTTTAGTTTAGTTTCTCCAAATTGCACTAGTACACAGTTTTCTCAACTAGAACCTGTCCACCCATATGCAGTTTTTTCCAGGGTTCTCTGTATCAGTGATTACAACCATTCATAAGTATTGCCAGCATAGTATTTACCCTTCTGCACTGCTAAGGAATGAGGTAAATAAACTCACAGCTTCGTGTGAAATCTGACATCTCATACCAACTCTATTATTTGTCCCTGAGCAGTGTTCACCATCTTTTCGCTACTATCGGTCTTAATTTGAAAGATTTTTTATATTCTTATATTCAGAATTCAGACCTGAGAGTATAACTGAACACTGAGTTACTTTCAGAAGCTAAGTTTCTAAGCCCTGTACTGAATGTTTTCTAGAAACCAAATGTCACACCGGTTATACTTCTGCCAACTGCTTATTTTGCAAATATATCCTAAAAACAAAATGAGCAAAATGAATATTGCATAGTGTTTTATTTAAAAATGACAGCTGTTTTGGGAAAGCCAAGATTATACTTCCCATTATTTTCTCTCTTATTTTTCCATTGCTTTACCAAAGAGGAAAAGCTACTGTCAAAAACATACTTTACCATAAACTGATATCACCACAATTCTACCCCTTTTCCTTATCTCTGCTATGTGAATTCTTTATAAACATCACAAACAATGACCTGGGTTCTCATCCTCCCCTCTCCCACCTCCAAAATGTCATCACCAGCACAGTAATTTCATTAGCTTTTGGAGAAGTATCAGCTGAAGCAGCGAATACTCCTAGTGAAACATCTTGCCTATTTTTCTTCACTTCTGCTATCAAACTATTTTTTATTAGCTTAAAGGTTCTCATCAAATAAACATTAAAACCAGTAATAAATTCAAAAGACCTCAATATGTTTGGTGTACAATATTTCTGTATCTCAGATTAAGTGTAAAATGCTAAGGAGACATAATTTACTTCAATCTTCAAAAGAGGCATACAGAGTCTTTGAAAGACTGTGAGAAACAGTAACTATTGTGTGAAGGTGAAAATTCCATTAGCAGTTTAAAGTCTAAGAAACAGGACCTAAATGGTTGCACTCATAATTGATTTGCCAGATGAAAAGAAGTGTTGGGAAGCATAGTAAGAATACACAGAGAGCTCAGCAGTGCTAAAGAGAATGAGAACTTCATGTGTGTAACAACAGGTTGTAAAGTACACAATCATTGTATAACTTGGAAGGGTACATAATTCACAATGAGGTATCAACAATAAGGTTATAAAAAAATAGCACTGTTGACGCGGTCTCTAGCATGCACATTTATTACAAAAAATAGATTAATCTGTGTTAGCAAATCGTAGAACAGGGATAACAAATCACAGCAAAAATACTTATGCAAAGGTGTGTTAAATGACAAAGCGGCTACCACTGAACCAGAAACCTACGCTGATCAACATAAAGGTTGTCAGTGCTCCTTATTCTAGACCCATGTACATTTAGTTCACTCGCACACACTGAAAAGTTGTGTAAGAAAAAAAAAGCATGGGGAAACATACCTCTGATAAAAATGTCTGGGCTGATTTCTGTGCTCCTACATGGAGCAGATACTCATATACATACAGTGCTAATCTGGAAAATAAATAAAAAGGACAATATTTAGTATTGTGCATTTGTTTGCTCCTCTTCTTTAGAAAAAAGTTGCACTCTATTACCTTTCACAAACCACTGCATAGTGAACATGTCAAATCTATTACCTATACCAGAATTTTTAAACTAGGCATGTAGGTCAGTGCAAGCAGAGGCGTTTAAATAGTAGTTAATATTAACCCCCCAAATTACTTAATGTCAACATTTTTAATTGTATTTGGACAAGTGCCCAGTGAGCTAACAACGACCTACTGCTGCTCTGTATTTGCCCACTCCATGGTGTGCTTACTGTAAATACATTCGTACAGAAACATGGATCATTTTTCCAGATGATATTTTTTCACATGCGGAATGGGTCAAGCCTTTAGCACACTTGAACAATAGCCTGTGTTTATTCAAAGAACATGCAAACTTATGGCTGCATCAGTGACAGTAATCCCATCTACGGCATGCAGTACAACCACATCCCTTGAGATTTTTAGATTAATTCAGACTTGTGCATCTAGGAGCTTGGATCACAACACAGCTACAAAAAAAAAAATAGCTTCAAAGGAGCATCCAAAAAAAATTATATTCAGCATAACCTAGGCACATCTTCAACTAAGTCCAAAGAGGCAGCATTAGGATCTCACTGCAGAAAGAGGACTCCCTTCCTGAATGATTCCCCACCAGAACTTGAGCTGGGAAGCCCTGTTCAACAGCCAAATAACAGGGAAGCAATAACAACAGCCAATTTATATAGGCTATGGAGGCTAGATTTGAATTAGAAAACTGAAGAAGTAAGGATTCCTATTCCTCAGCTGACACCCCAGGGAGGATCCAGTCTGTCTATATGTTTCAAGTCTTTTAAAATGAAATCTTGTTTTAAAAGAATGATTTAATAATGCTTTGGAATTGTCCATGAAACATTTCTGTTTGTGAAAACAAGATAAAAAAGTCAGTCTGTGAGTCTTTCAAATTTGGTAGCTGAACTGTTTTTAAGAAGTAAAATATATTTTCATGCACTCTCTGATACCCTGCTATTATTATTTAAAATGTTTTACTATTCATATTCAAAAATATGTAGCTTAACTAAACAAAGTAGAGAGGTAGAGAACCTATTTTCCTGTTACTGTTCAAAACGTTATGCAGTATTAGATGTGGTAACTGTCATCATGGCACTGACAGAGTAGCAATTACAGCAGTAACTTATTATGTCTGAAATTTTAAAACCTAGGACAGGCATTCCACAGAAGATTGCATGTACATTTCACTGTACATGCCATACACACACTACTTTACTCTCTCTCTGACGTAAAAATGTTTTCGCCCACAGATTGAAAGAAAAAATTACATTCAAATGTGTGACTGGTTTTAGTTTGAACTTTAAGAAGGGTCTTATCCCTTTTTAATTCCAGTATTTTACAAAAGAGTTATGAGTTTGCATTGTGCCGTATCAACAGATGTAAAGTTCAGAGTGCTAAGCCAAAAACACTTGGTTCTTCTAAAAAAGCACCACACAATCTAGTGCTCAACTCTGAAGCAGCTCGACAAGGACACAGTGATGTCTCTATAAGTAGTGTGGAGAGGGGATCACATATAATAGCCTCTCATCCCAAAAGCATAACTGCATCCGTCAAACAAAGTCACATCTTGTTGATTTAAGTGTTCCCAGTTCAACTGGCATTCAATTTTTAAACAATAAATAGTTGTAGACAAAACCTAAGACCTAAGAAAGATGTAAAAGGCAGAGAGGAAGGTCTTTTCCTCAGCAGCCAAGATGACTTGGATACCAGGTATGCTTCAAAGCATTTCATTTGTCTTCTGAGATTCCGGTTTTGGTTCTTACCAAAACATGAAACCTGCAGTCCAGATAAAAGAATCTGTGTGATCATATACTTTCTACCCCACAAAGGAAAGTGAAACAGCTCAAAACCACTGCATTGCAGGTGCACCACCTTCACATATCTGCCATCTGCTGAAAGCTTTAGCAAATACTGCACCAGCATACCCAAACTGACAGCACAACAGCGAGGCAAATTTGAGAGTCTCTCAGGACTCCTGGAGTCTACCAGCCAACACAGTGCAGACAGCGGTGCTCCAGCACAAGTCAACATTGCTACCCTGTGATCACCTCTGCTGGTCAAAGAAATTTCAAGAAATTTCAACACTGAAAAAAGACATTCCCAAAACTCTGAATTGTACACATGTAATGTGCTAATTAACCAGTTATAACCTCTCCAATTCTTTAACATGCATTATTGCATCTTGGTCTAAACATACCAGCAGTGAAATGAAGTGGTGTAACAACTGTGTCTATTAAGCATGGGGGTAAATATGTCGTATTTCAGGTGAATTAAGTATTCCAGGTTTTAGGCTTCCAAGTGAATCCCCTTATAGTAAATCAAGAGCTGGACCATGCTGGCAAGGGGACTACCTGGCTCCTGTGACAGGAAAGCCAGGACCGCCTTCCACAAACGGATGTGAATCAGAAGGCACAACACAAAATGACCTGATTGGGTCTTATCAGATCTAAATCACTGGCCCATACCTGGTTATTATGCTCTCAGGAAGCCTTTACAGAAGTATAACAACATTATAGCTTCATTCAGAAATAAATACATTTACCACAGAGATCAAAAGAAAGATACTAATGCCTCACTGTGTTACTTGCAGCAAAAGGATCAATGCAAACTGATGCTCTGAGGAAAGACAACAAAGAAACCTCAAAAAGATGCAACACTGTGTTACAAAAGGAGGATTACCAGATACATGAACGTTACCTACAGCATAAAATAAAAATTAGGGAACAGTCCAAGTGTGTATATTTAACAAAGGAATAAACTGTTTAACATCTCAGCAGAAGACTAAGAGAATAATTGTGAGACGGTCTTCAAAACTAAAGGACATGCATGTGAAGTGGCATTTTAAAACTGCTAAACTGGCGTGAGAAACTGTGAAAAAGCTGCAAGGAGACATATGTTAAATTTTCACATTTGCATACTTGTTGACATCCCATGAGTAATGTGAGGAAAAAATATTTCCAATCAATTTATGACAACACTGCAGTAATTTTTGTTAGAAGATATGCCACAGGCCAGAGTTCCCCCACCCTGCCAAGACAATTAGAACATACATTCTTCTATGCCCCAGTGATATATTTACTCTATAAAAAAAAAAAAATAAATAGAGGTACTGTCTAGCTCTTTTGCTATCCTGGTGAATTTTGTCTCATGATTCCGTTCTAATCAGACACAACATTCATACACCCTGCAAGTGCATACTGAACAAGAAAGAGAAGAATCTTTGAAGTGCTCCTAGTCAAACAGTTATTAGCAGAAAATAACTAGTAATCACTCTAACTGTGCTGTGAATATAACCTTCTTAACACTTTAAGGTGGGAAGATGCAATTAGCTTACTGAGAACTTACAAACAAAGCCCTACAGAACTATCTTCATTGATAAAAAGTAAGCAGAGTAAACTCCCCCAATTCCAAGTCAAAACATCAAAACAATGTCTAGCTTTCCATAAAAGGCAGTGAAAACCTGAAAGCACCAGGAACATGTTCTACTTTACTGCTTTTGGTATATAATTTAGGTGCTCTGAGCCACACTCCTCACAGGGCCCTGCAAGCTTCACTGGCTGTATGCAAGGTACTCAACCAACAGTGCAGACAAACATATGCTATGGAAGAAGGGCTCAAGTTATTATCACAAAGTCATTTAGGAAATAATTTTTCCCTAAAACATAGAACAGTAGCATCTTTGATTCATTCTGTAAAAAGACCTGTACTGAGAAATTTCATCACAGAGTCAGTTTATCATAGACTTTCATAGAATTATCATAGAATTTCATAGAATTATCATTTTTCATAGACTCATACTGTGATTTGGGTTGTAACGGACTTAACTGGGACATGGTGCACTCAATCCCACTTCCCAACAAAGATGTCGAACAGTATCAGTCCCAACAACAATCCCTGAGGGACACCACTCTTCACTGATCTCTACTTGGACATCAAGCTGTTGACCACACCACTTTGAGTGCAACCATCCAGCTAATTCCTTTATCCACTGAGTGTTCCAAATGTCAAATCTATGCCTCTCCGGTTTAGAGACAAGGATGTTGTGTGTGACAGTGTAAAATGCCTTGCATGAGTCCAGGTATATTTCTAAGGAGACAACAAAAGGAGAATGGCCACATTTTCCCATGAAGTTCAAAAGCTGGGCTTAGGAGAGTAAGGAATTGCAAGAACTCAGCTTCTGCTTTCTCTTAAAAGCTGCCCTGTAAACCTGCCAGGAGCAGGCAATTATGACACACAGTTTCATGCGCTGAGGGAAACTGCAGTTGCTTTCATTGTTTTATTTGCCACATGCCATAACTAAAAAAGTACGTGCTTTAATTGAGCATACAGCGGCATATAACCATTATCCTGCAAGTTATGAAATTGATGCAATAGAATTAAGAGCTTGCAGCCCCTCAGCTCTCACACTGTGTCAAAGTACAGTTTGGGTACTGTACCTGCCTTCTGCAGCACCCAGTCAGCTCATCACTGTGACAAGCAACTACTGCCTCTTTGCCACAAAATCTATGACAGTGAACAACAGAGATGTCCTTAGATGCTACCATCTCCTCCACCAGATATTATGCTGTAAACATCTGAGGCTGGATGTAAAAAAAAAAAAAAAAAGAAGGAGAAAAATTACTTTTTCCAGGAATGTTCCAGATTGAAGCATCACCAAGACAGATCTAGCATTTTAGGATTGTTAATACACCATTTTTTAAAACTGTTCATGTATGGGAAGTTCTGCATATGACACACCATCTATTTAACTTTTGTGTTTTTTTAAACTGTAATTAGAAAGCACAGTGAGAACTAGTAACTCAATATCAATACAAAATTTTTAGTTTGTGCAAAAAAGAAAATATCTTAGACATTCTTCCTTGTGTTTCAGGAGACTTGCAGTATTCCAAAATCAGTACTCTGACCTACACAGAGAAA